TTATTATTATTATTATTATTATTATTATTATTTCTTTTCTTTAATTATTAAACTGTTTTTATCTCAACCAATGCGTTTTCTCACTTTTACCTTTCCGATTCCTTCCCCCATCCCACCAGGGAGAGGGGAGTGAGTGAGCGGCTGTGTGGTGCTTAGTTGCCGGCTGGGGTTAAACCATGACAAATGCTTATTTTAACATTTGTGGGAAGTGAATGTATACCCTCAAGACTTGTCTGCTATTGTACGTAGAGAGGAGAAGTGAGAGTCCCAAGGCTAGAACCAGCTGTTCTGCAGTAATTTTAGCAGCATCAGTGAAATCACTGGCTTTTAAAAATAAGCATACATCTGTACAGAAAAATGGTTCAATGCCATGAAAGTAGTATGGAATGTTTTAGTTTATTATGTATTTAGTTATTTATGAATAATGTATTTATTATTTATTTAGTTTATTATGAATATGATCAGTGGTTCAGCAACAGCTCTGTACTGTTGAGAGAGAGGGTAATTCTTGAAGTGATGATCTCTTGTGATGGACAACGTGCCAGTTGCAATGTTGTACGTTAGGTACAAAGATAGGAGATCTGCTCCTAAGGAGATGATGTCACTTACTGAAGTATGATAGGTGTTTATTCCAGACAAAGCAATACAGAGTTTTAGATATGGCTGTTATAAAATTTTCCATAAGCAACATCTGATTCTGACCTCCCCTGCAGCAAGATTTTAGACACTGTTTCTGTTTTCTGATGTCGGCAAGGTTTTTGATACAGTCCCTCACAGCATCCTTCTGGGCAAGTTGTCCAGCCATGAGATGAGTGGGTTCCCGGTGCGCTCATGAGTGAAGAACTGGCTGGGCAGCAGGGCCACAACAAGCAGTCATCATGAAGGGCATGAAATGTAACAAGCCCAAATGCTGGATTCTGCACCCAGGACGGAGTAACGCTCCGGACAAAAGTACCGACTGGGAGAGGAGTGGCTGGAGAGCAGCCCTGCAGAAAGCGATCTGGGGGTGCTGGTTGGCAGCAGGCTCAATATGAGTCTCAGTCTGGGGCTGCCCCACAGCAGTGCCTGCTGCAGGGTGCTACAGAGCTCTGGGCACTCACACCAGAGCCCCAGCCTCTCTGAAGGGCACAGCAGCTCCTGGGAGGTGGGGAGGGGCTGTCATCCTCCCCATGAGTCCCAGGGCTACAGGCTGGCAATGGCCCAAGGAATTGGTTCGGTCACTCTTGGTGTTCTGTTCTCTCCTTTCCAGAAGAGGCCCCAGGCAGCCTGTGCCACCCCCACCCCCCAGTTGCAGTGGCACAGGAGCTGCCCCAAGCCCGTGAACAGAAAAACCTCTTTCTCCTCCTTATTGCCTCTCTCTGACCCACATGTGGTGCTCCACTCTTCTCCAGGGAAATCCCTGTTCCACAGAGGGCCTTTCCCCGGGGGAGTGTGTCTGTGCTGGCCTGGCCAGTTGTTCCTGGCTCCCTCCCCTGAGGTCTCCACAGGGCCCTGAGCTGGTGCTGCTGCTCTGCAGAGCAAGCGGGCTGTGGTGCCCGGTGGGACCATGAGCTGACTACATACGGGCCATACTGGTCCAGGAGTGAAGCCGATCTAGCCAGGCTGGCATCACTACCCCTGTCAGATTTCTCCCATGGGTCTGTGGCTATGATCTGCAGAGCAATCACAGGGTGTTTCAACTGTTTCAGGATGTGTTCAGGTGTGTCACTGGATCCAGCCCATGGCTTCTCATTGAAGATGATGTGAATCTCTCTCAAGACTGCCTTCCTCATGCCTGTTGTGTCTCTGCTGCCTCTCTGGCATTGCAGAGCCCCCATTAGGCTGTGCATTCTTCAGTTCAGCCCTTTTCCTTTGGGTGACATTACTTTTTGGGGAAGTTTTGTACACCTCCATTCACTTTCCACCCCGAGGCACCTAGTGGCCCAGAGATGCCCTGTGCTCTCCTGGTGGGTTCAGATCCCCTTTCAGAAGGTCATGCCTCTTTGACCAGCCCTGTCATACATGAGGGAACCTCAAGCAGATACCTTTTGACCGTTCAGGATCTCCAGTAGCATTGCGCACCCAGTAAAGTGAAGGATCAGTCCAGCCCTTATTCCCTTACACATCAAACCATGTCCTTGTCCCCCTAAGCCAATGCAGCACCCAAGCACAGCAGGGCCTTTTAGCCTGCACTTCCCTGAGTATATTCTGCAGTCCAAGCTTCACACGCTGCACTGAGGAAATCCCCTTTCTTTACAGATATGCCACAAAGGAGGTTTAGCATAGTGATAGACCCATTTACAGAAGGCCTTTGGGCCAGACAGACTGAGTTCATCCTCTTGAGAAGGAGCATGAAAACAAACATTTCTGAACAAACACCATTATAACCAGTACAATGCCCAAAGGACACAAGTTGCCTGAGAAAAAGTGGAGAAAACTTGCTAAGAGACATGGGCAGCTTATTGCTGCTGAAACACTACACCTCGAATTGGGTTCTTCAGGGCATTCTTGAGTTTCTTGTTCCTCATGCTGTAGAGGAGGGGCTACACTGCTGGAGGCACCACCGAGTACAGAAATGACACCACCAAGCTCAGGGATGGGGAGGAGATGGAGGGGGGCTTCAGGTAGGGAAACATGCCAGTGCTGACAACCAGGGAGACCGCAGCCAGGTGAGGGAGGCGCGTGGAAAAGGCTTTGTGCCGTCCCTGCTCAGAGGGGATCCTCAGCACGGCCCTGAAGATCTGCACATAGGACACCACAAGGAAAACAAAACACCCAAATGCTAAAGAAAGGCTAACCACAACAACCCCAACTTCCCTGAGGTAGTCTGAGTCTGAGCAGGAGAGCTTGAGGATCTGGGGGATTTCATAGAAGAACTGGTCCAGGGCATTGCCTCGGCAGAGTGGTATGCAAAACGTATTTGCACTGTGCAGCACAGCATGGAGACACCCACTGCCCCAGGCAGCTGCTGCCATGTGGACACAAGCTCTGCTGCCCAGCAGGGTCCCGTAGTGCAGGGGTTTGCAGATGGCAACGTAGCGGTTGTAGGCCATGACTGTAAGAAGAGCACATTCTGTTCCAGCCAAGAAGAAAAGCACAAAGACCTGGACAGCATATCCTGGGTAGGAGATGGCCCTGTTGTCCCAGAGGGAATTGGCCATGGCTTTGGGGAGAGTGGTGGAGATGGAGCCCCTGTCGAGGAGAGAGAGGTTGAGGAGGAAGAAGTACATGGGGGTGTGGAGATGGTGGTCGCAGGCTACGACAGTGATGATGAGGCCGTTTCCCAGGAGGGCAGCCAGGTAGATGCCCAGGAGGAGCCAGAAGTTCAAGAGCTGCAGCTCCCGTGAGTCTGTGAATGCCAGGAGGAGGAACTGGGTGATGGAGCTGCTGTTGGACAATCACTTCCTCTGTGTGTGTTTATCTTTTGAGGAGGAAAGGGCAGTACTGAGTTAGGCCAGACTTCTCTGAGCAAAACTTATTGTATGTCTCATTGAAACCACCCACTCAGACTCTTTTCAGGAAGACCTCTCTGCAGCTCCCTCACTTGAGCTCCGGATTTTCCTGGCTGAGGGGGACATTGGGAGCAGGGACTCTCTAATGGGCTCCTGAGTAGTCCTTCTTGCTCTGCAGTGAAAGGGAACTAGGAATGCAGGGTGATCTCAAATTAAATGCACTCATGATATATCCAAGAGCTCTTTGGCATTTTTGTTTGCAATTTGCCCAACTGCAGAACAGAGCTGAGGGGGTTCTGTTTGGTTTATTATGTTCTAGTTGCACCTGCCACATTTAGGAGTGGCTTTGGATGGTTGAAATCCCTGACATGTCTAACGCATTCCAAGTGAAATCTTGTGGGTCCTGAGAGGCAAAGGGACAGTCCCTCGGTGCAGAGAGAGGAGAGCTGCTCTGCCCCTCAGTCCTGTTCTCAGCTGCCCTGTGCTGGCAGCATGGAGCTGGAGGATGATCACACTCACGTGTTCCCCTTCTAAAAAGAACCTGGACAGTGCTGAGAGCAGAGGAATCCAGGTTCAAAGAGCAGATTGACAGACCCCTCACCATTTCTCAGGGTATCTGAGGAGGATCTCGTCTCTCCCCTCCCAGACTGGGACATAGAGGGAGCATTGCCGATGCTCACATACAGCTGCCCAGCTGCATTGCCATGGCCTAGCACCAAGGTGTCTTCTCCATGGGGATCCTAGGTAGTGCAGGCATACTATGGGAGAGTTCTGCCCTTCTGGGGGGCACCCTGCAGCCCATCAGGACACCCCAGGGAAATAGCTGAATGTCCTGAAGT